TTTGAAAAAATTTAGTCAATAAATAATTGTGTCAGTAAGTATTACAAGTAAGTACAGTCAGTATTTTCACAATATAAGGCATATTTTAACGAACTCTCAATCTTTAAAAATGACTTTTCATTTCAAATCTTAAAGATAATAATTAATGTATTATAAAAACTAACAGAACCTTGTTTCTTTATTATATTAATTTCTTTCGTCGCTATTAGGGTATAATATAATCTTTTACTAACAAAAACCTATTTTTTGTATTAATTAAATTATCTTTCCTATTGCTATAAATGCTATAATTATATATTAATTAATATATATTAATGTTATAATTTAAAATAATATTTTAATGTTTTAATTTAAAACTGAAAAATAAATCTTTATTTATTATTTTCTAAAAAAAACCGTCACTGCTTTTGTGCAGCAAGTGCCAGTGCAATAGCCAAGGTGTATACAATCGCCGATGTCAACAGAATAATTTCGTCAACAAAACTTTATGTTAATAAAATATACGAAATAGAATATTGCTTAAAATTAAGTTTCTTTATTCTTAGTTTGCATATATTTCTGGTTTTACATACTAAAGTTAATTATAATTTTGAAAATTTTAATTTTTTACATAATAGATTTATCAATAGGGTGAGATGAACATGTGCGAATCTATATATATATTTCTCTTATACGGCACCCAAAAAAAAGCCTCATTATAACTCCCCGAATGGCAACGTTGGAAAATCGATCAATGATTGCTGCTAAAAATGTCACATGCCAAATCTAGCTAAGGGGGCTCAACATATAGCGCTTTTAAAAACGGAAACAATAACCAGAGTGAGCATTATCAGGTTGTTCAATTCAGATGCATGCCCTAAAAGATAATATTTAATTTAAACTCAATTAGGAATTAATTAATTAATTGAAGTGAGAATGCTTTAAAAGGCCGCTGTTGAATTGATATTTTTCTACTGGGAGCTACCTAAACGTCTAAAAAACGTCTAAGTGTTTGTATTGAATGCATTGAATTTTTTTATATTTCGCGTTTATTTATGCATTGAATTTTCACGCTTTAAAATGCAGAATGTTAGTGAAGCTGCTAGGGCTTTTAAACGTAATGAAAGAAAACGTTATCGAAGAGCCCAAGAAAGTGTTGAGGAATGTTATGGAAGACGTAGATTTCAGAGATCAAGTGCAATAATAACTGTTCAAGATGTAACAGTAGATGTCGAAGAATATAATATTGGCTCAATGACGGAACAATGTAGTTATTGTAATGCTTACTTTTGGGCCAAAGAAAGATATTCTTCTGGCAAATATACGAAATGCTGCCACGATGGAAAAATTAATTTGCCTACACTAATGGACATTCCCGAGTTGCTGCAAAAATTATTAAGTGATAATTCGACTTTGATTTTTTGTTAGTTAATGAAAATCCGAAGAAAATTATATTTTTTGAAAATTTCTCTATAATAATTTTCATTCCTCGGTCTTTGTTATTTTTCAAACATTTTTAAACTAAATGGTACTTTTTGTTCATTTTTGGGATTAATTTTGTAACCCGTAATTCTTAATTCTTATTAATAAAATAAGTCTTCGTGAAAACTCTGTAATAGTTTTAAGGAGTACAACAAATTTTTCAGATTTATTTCTTGTTTAATTGTAAATATTTTTTTAAAACTTCATTTTCATAGGATTTTAACTTTTACATTGTTTATGTTAATGATATTTTTGTAAATTGTTTTCTCTATATTTTTTTAGAATAATTTAAAGTCATTAAATATATTTCATTCAATTTATACTTGAAATTTTTTAAATATTTTAAAAGTATATAACATAATTTCCCAATATCATTAGGTTTTTCAAAAAAAATTTTAAAATTTTCATTAGTCTTTTTCGCTATCTAGCTATCCAATTTTGTTTCGAATAGCTATAATTCGAAAAATAATATTACATTGTTAAGTTAAAAAAAATTATAATAACCATGTATAACATACAATATACTCTAATATACAATACACTCTAATATACAATAAATGTTAGGTTATAATTTTAGAATTAACAATGTGTTTAGATTATACTTCGTTAAATAAGAAACATATTTAAATATGGCACGCTGGAAGATATATATACATATATTTTAATTTGTGTAAATATATATATATTTCCTTTTATGTAAACTTAATTTTTATCTTAGACTAAATCAGATAAATCAGATGACTTGTTAAAATTAAAAGTCATTTTAAAATGAAAATTAATTCCTTCATTTATTTAAATTTTTTTCATCCCTTGTCCTTTATCATGAAAATTGAATTAATTTTTCACATTGGAATAAAGCAGAAAAATCAGAAGACTTGTTAAAATTCAAGGTCATTTTAAAATAAAATTCAGTTTGAGAAATCAGTCTCTTTTACGTCCTTCCTTTGTTTTATTTTTTTTATACCTTGTGCTTTATCATTAAAATTAAATTAATATCATAAAGTTAATTTTAATTTTTTGTATACTGAAAATTTATATTCATGATTAAATTCAAATCTATGTCAGAATCAATATGTAAATCACAAATTATTCCTGATTCAATATGTTTTTGCGAAGCGAAAAACCATTTCATGTCATTATGATTAGAATGCATCCATAAAATGTCTTGCTCAACATTAACAAATTTAAAGGAGTAAAATTAAAAAATTAATTAAATGTTAATGCACTTTTTTTTTAAAAATTTGTTTTCGATTGATAAATCATTTTTTGTTAACTAATTTGTTGCTGTGAATGTATTAGTTAAATCATAGTCATAAACAACGGAAATGATTTAAATAATTACAATTAGTTAATTACAATCTAAATAATGCAACCAGTTTTAAAATATTAGATCGGACGAAGTTTATGACTTTGCATTCAGAACATACCCTTAAAAAGGATAACCCTATAGCCTCGTAACTCTGTGGGGGAAACATTTTGAGCGTGTTAGGTGGGTCATCTTGACCATCATTTTGTAGCAGGTGTTCCTTTGTAATACTCCTTACGATGCCTTTTAATCATTTTGGGGGGAATAAGTTTGTGACGAACCGTACCCGTCATCCTCATTACTCAATAATTCACTGTTTCTGCTATGACACCTAGACTATAAAGGATATGTTCTACATTTTTTTTAGTTCAATTGAAAACTGAAATTTTTCTGTTTATTATCTTAATCAAAAGAAATAAAGACGCTCTGATATTCTAAATTTTTAGTTTAATAAACATCAACAAGCACCGAATCAACTAGAATTTAACAAGAATGTATTTTATTCAATGTTTTTGAATCGTACTTTTGTTTGCTAATATTTTATTTGGTAAAAATTTGTTATTCAGAGATTTATTATTATCTCTTTTCATCCACTTTAAAAGCAATAATAAAGATAAAAGTTGAAAAAAACATTGAAAAATACAAAGGAAAACAGCATGTGCCTTTCATTTTGTGAATGTATATTTATAATTTAAAACTAACTTTACCATTATAGAATTCATTACGCATTTAAAAAGCACAAAAATACATGTTCTCATAACCATGTCTTTTATAATCAAGCAACATTTTTTCAGTATATGTTATTTTTATATTTAGTACAGATAAGTATACATATAAAATATATATTTCAAAAAACCCAAAATATCAAGGAAAAACTCACAGGGTCTCGGTTTTTTCCTTAAAAACCCAGGCTTCTGCAAACACTGATTCTTGAGCACTCAAAGCATGTTAATTTTCATTACCATTTTTTTTTTAGCAAATGAAGATTTATATCATCAAGTATATCTTTTTTGCTTCAGTTTTTCTGGGTTATTTACTCAATATTAAATACTAGTCATTTTCAGTAACCAGCAGGACCACACCCAAAGACTCTGAATTTATATTGCCCTCAGCAACATTGCTCTAAGCGTTGATTTATTGACTTGCTCCTTTTCAATTTATATTGGATAATATATCAGTGATTAAAAAAAAATGTGAACACACATTTAATTTGTAATAATTGCAAAATAAAAGCAATGATAGAGCAACAACAAAAGGCAATGAAAAATAGTGTAAATCAGGGAGTAAAACAGCTAAATAATATTTAAGTAAGGAAATATTACTACTAAAATTAAGAAGGTAAATATTACTACTGAACATAAGAGAGTACAAAATCTACCATACAAAGAAACAAATGAAGATAAGAGAGTGAAAAATACTTTTTTCTTGATGGAAGAGGAGAATTGTTTGTTTTTGTTGCCTTGAATGACATATTGCAATGCTTTTACTATCAAACGGGCTTTCTGATGAAATTTTCAATGTCTTTGCTTATTAGATTTTAGAAGATGTAACCAAACTTAATAGCTCGTTGTTTAACATACCAATTAAAACAATTATGGCTCATTAGAGCCAAAAATAACAGATTAGATAAAAAATAGCATATGAAAGAAAAAATAGGAGATTACAGCAAAAATAACAGATAATAGATTAATTTCAACAATTGAAACTGATCAATAAATTTTAAAATATAAAAATTTCCTTGTTTGTAATAAAAATATACGGGCACAATGTATGCCATAATGAATATTTGAAATATTTCATATTGAAAAATATTTTACCTCATTTTAGACCTACACAACTTTCAAACACATGGTGAAGGCAAAATTAACATCATAATAACAAAATGAAGTTTTGAATATTTGTTTAAAGTGTTACTTTTTAATTATTAACTAAATATCTCTTTTTAATGTTAATATTTTTTCAGTCATATTCTATAGTGATTTAAAAAAAACAAATATGATGAAATATGTTTTTTTTTAACATAGGAATTTTGAAAAACACAGTCATAAAGTAAGTATGAAGTTCATATGTTGAAATGCAGGTCTGAAAAAGCAATTAATATGTTATTATTTTGTATTCGTAGTAAATTTTAGCCAAAATGAATGTGGAAAAAAGTTGTAAGGTAAAGCATAAACATGAGAGAAAAGAAATACAATGCAGGTTAACATATCACAAAACAAAGAAAATAAATTACTTTATCACAATATCTGTCAGCCAGCCAAGTGTCTGCACATTCACTGTTGCAGTATGCTGTATGAAAATATATGACTCAGTTTAAAAAATAAACTTTAAATGCTTTATATCTTTAATAAAAATAATTCACACTTTTAACTTAAATTTCAAAACAGATCCTTTCACTTATACTTACATTTTCTAAAGAAAGAAAGTCAAAACAAAAACGTTAAAAAAAATATTTATATTTATAAGCCTGTAACATTAAAACAACAGATTTTCAACTAACAATCATGCAGCTTTTTAATATTATGAATTTTAAATAACTCCAAATAACCTGGTTTGAAAAGAAAAACATAAATTGTTTTAATGTTCCAAGGTAACAATAAATTTTTCTAAACAGAAAAATGCAAAATAAAAAAATTCTTTAACCTCTTTAAAATGTATACACTATTCTGTATTATAGGGAAACTCAAACTACGGACCACATGCAGCCCCTCGACTGTTGACGTGGGGCTCGTGGAAGCTTCTGAACGCAATGAATTGTTTTTGAAAAATAATGAAAATATAGAATTTTATTTTGTACTATAATGGATTTGTTTTAATTTTTGGTTTTTGCCTGAACTTTATAAATTTTCTTTAATAAAAATATATAATTCTAATTTATATTACTCTAGAAAATATGCTTTTTTTTTTTTTTTAACTTTCACTCAGCTCTAAAGTTTTTTTTTTCTTTATAGCTACCCTTTATATACATATACATACATATTTCAATAAATTAATTATTGTGAAAAAAAGGTTAAAAAAATTTACCTAATTCAAAAAAAAGTATTAGTTTTTTTAATCTTTAAATAAATTCAAATAATTAAAAGTATTTAATTTTCTGCTAATTTAAGTTAAAGGATAAAAAAAAACTTAGTGCTTAGAAAACTAATGTTAATATATAAATTATCATATTTGCCACCAACATGACTAAATACGCATGGAGTCCTTCATTAATCTTCCTGGTGTACAAGTGGCCCTTCATTTAAAAAGGTTGTGCATCCCTACTGTATTCACAGATAAAATAATGTTACAAACTTTAGAAAATGCTAACATGCAAATTTTATTGGAAAAAAAAAATAGTTAACAATAAAAAATTATCCAATATAGAGTTAAGATACAATTTTCAGATGAAATCAATCCTTGAATATTAAAATGTTAGCTTCTGGTTTTTAAAAAAAAAATACCAACCTTTGTTGGAATATGCTTTGATGTTGTGAAAAAAGCTAGTGATTCCGACATCATGATGGACATTTTGGAAGGGCAACATTGGATTATCAGCTGTGCAGTCCCCTCCATCCCACTGACAGTGGGAATTATTGCAGGGCTTATCGCAGTACCCGTCTCGAATCCAGGAAGATGGGCAGCCTTCTGCACAATTTGGCACTGGCCAAGATAAATAAACCTAACAAAAACAAGCTCTCATATAGTATTCTGTCTACTAAGATACTAAAATTTAAAAAAAAGTGATAAAAATGCATTCCTAGATGCAACACATAATACCTAACAATTAAAAATTCCCCCCCCTCTCAGAAATGTATTCTTCTTTGTCAGCGAAACAGCCCCTTGCAAGCCTTGGCTGCCTCATCAGCTGACAAACACCATCACCTACTATCCATGGCAACTCCCTTTCAATTTCTAATCTTTAGGATTTTCAAATAATTTTCGATGTCATTGAGACATCTAGTAGGGGGTCTGCCCCAGGGGCAAGGGGTTCTTAAGGATTCTCATGGCGCTATTATCAGAGCTTTTCCATAGATGGCCCACCCATCTCAGCCTATTACTGCAGATTATTTGGGGCCGCTTATAGAGTTGGTAGAGCTCAATGTTATATCTGGTCAGAAGTGGGGGCCATTTAACATACAACGAAAGAGAAGCGGTGGCGTTTGTAATTTACTTATTTCTGATGAGGAGGTGGGGAAAGGGATGAGCAATGCTTTTGTATGATTCTGAAATCTTCATACATAAAAATACAAAATATATGTAACAAAAAAGTTGAGAAAAAAATTACAACTGTGTAAAAAAAAAAGGATAGAAAAAATTCCCTCAATGAATTTCAAAAATTTTATAAAGTAAATATTGCATTTCGTTTTACGTAAAGTTACCTTTTTATCATATTTGAATCTTGAAATTAAATGACTGCAGCAATCAAAAGACAAAGGGGGGGTGGAAGGGTTTTGTAAGCATGGAAGGTGATTCAGAGTTTGCGTATCTTAAATCATTTTTAGAGTAACTCTTTGTCTTTCCTGTTAAACAGTACTTCTTGTAGGGTGTAAAAATCTTTACTAGTTGCTTAATCTTATCTTTACTAAAAGCAGATTCGAAATTGTAGTAATTTAAATTTTCAAAAACAACAAAATTTAACAAGAAATATAATAAATTTGCACACCAAATGATTTTCCAAAAATTAAAAAAGTAGAGGTAGTATTTAATTTGATAAAAAAAAAAGACTTTGATCAGACAATCTATTATTTGCTCATCTACTTACTTATACAAAGAATTTCAAATCAAGAAAATGTTTTTGATTGAACTGAATGATCCAACACCTGCCTCAAGGAAAATGTAATTTGAATGTCAGTATCATTTTCATTGAATATTAAAAATATGAAAACAGTCATATGAATGAAAAGAAAATTAGGCCTATCGAAACTTTCTTTTCACAACCATTTTTGGCATATTTAGATGTCTGCAATGTTGTGGAATACCATTTTATTATTTCAGAAAAGCTGAAATTATTATAGTCAAAATAAATCACCTTCTGTCCTTTAGTATGGGTATAAAAATCTTCAGGCCACACATTTTTTCCAAAAAGAACGTCATCATTTAAATACAAAAATTTATCAGAAAGATTGGGTATCCTGTGAAGGTGACACTCAATAGCAGGAGAACTGAAAGTAGGGAGATGACTTCCATTTGGGAAGATATCCTGTGGGGGAAAAAAGAAACGAGATGAAGTACGACTTCCGATAAAATAATATAATTTACAGAAATACATTCTTTATGAATAGTACTATTTCTTAATGCATTTAGTCTGACATAAAAAAAAAGCATCTGAGTCAACAGACTGTTTATGTTTTCAGAGTAGACAAGGATGAAATCATTTGTTTAATTAACTGAGAATTAATTTTATTCATTGCTAAATCATAACTTGTAATATTCATTTTGTCCAACGTTAAATCACAGAGCAAGTGAATGTTAATTTTATTTATTTGTAAGTCATGAAACATCTGAAATCTCATTTCATTAATTGTTAAAAAAAATTTTGAACTTAAAAAAATCAATTCCATCTTTCAAAAGTTTTTTTTTGAAAATTTTTCAAATGCTTAAATTCAAATTTTTGAATTCAGAATTAAAAAGAATTAAAAAATATGCAATTGTTGCTGTTTGTTTGTCAATAGATTTAGAAAAATAAATAAACAAAATAATTTGATTTTACCAAAAGTGACAACAGCAGTTTCTGCTAATTATAAGGTTACTTAAAACTCTGATATAGTTCGTCACTATAAAATGCATTTATTATTGAATTTGATGAAAGTAATTCGCTGAGTGTAATGAAAAAAGTATCAATAGCAGCATGACAAATAGGTGGAAGTATGGCTGGAACACTTTTTACTAGATTTATTAGCCTAAATATTGGCTATTGAATTTGTATCCTTTCAAAAAATGTTTCAATAACTCGGATGATAATAAATCAATAGGCAAATTAAAAATTATTGACCCCAAGCAAACCCTAAGCAAATAACTTACAATAAGATATAAGTTTCTGTTTATCTTAGGAATAAAAATCTCAAGGTATTTTAAAATGTGGCATACTGATTGAGGTGGGTTGAAAAAACGAAGTTAAAATGGAATATTGCAGGAACAGATAAATAGAAATAAATTTTCATATTGAGAGAGTGCATTTTTGAAAGTTCACATATACTCACATGATGAGTGATAATCGAGATTCTTGGATTATCCAAATTCAACCAATACGGAATCTGTCCATTTGTTACAATGTAGATGTGCCGAACCCAAGGGGCGTGTTTTTCGAGAGAGCGCAATGAGTATCTGAGCTCCTGAAAAGAAATAATTATACAGTCCTTTATTCAAACACAGATTCTATTCTAGATATAACAAGTAAATTTTTAATAAAAATTTGGTCAGCTTTGGAATATCCTCAGCGGTAGACGGATCATGAGTTGGAGTCCCCCTGCCGTCAGGCTAACCATGGGAGGTTTTCATGGTTTTCCTCTCCATGTAACGCAAATACGGGATAGATTCTTCCAATACTTGATCCAGGAATTCCCTTGTCTTCTGGATCGGGTTCATAACCAACTTATAAATAATTCTTTTTGTGAGTGAAAGCTTTTGTTCTGACTCGAGCTTAACAAGTGAATTGCTTCAGTCCTTACATTCTTGTTATAAGGGAATTCAGCTGTGCATATAAATATAAGACAATGAAATAGTTTAAATAAAACAGTTATAAATAACAAGCTGTGTTCAGATAATTAATTTCTTACTAATAATTCATTTTGTGAGCTTAACCAAAGTATGATTATTGGAGGTTTAGGGCTAAAGTGTAATGTTAATTTTATTTTGACGGCTACAATAAATCACTGGCAGGTAAAGTTTGAAACAAAGGGGAAAAAATGGTGAGTAAACTCTGAATATTAGCATTAGATAAAGTTACCAAGTATTTTACAGTCATGATAGCTGGAAAATCTTCTGAAAATATTTTGTTAAAAACTTTGCTGGAAACTATTTTGTTAAAATACTTAGTCACTAAATCAGTACTATTTTTGAATAATTGTATTTCAACAATTGTGATGTTCCTGAATGGGGAGAAAAATTAAAGTCTTTTGTCTCAATGAGATAATTTCAATTTATGCTTTTTGAAATCTCAATGGAACAATGCATATTTCACAGGGTAAATAATAACAATCTTATTCAGCTAGACATAACTTGAAATTTAAAATGAGCAATATATAACTATCAACACTTAAATGAAATAAATACTTGAGTTAAATTTACTGATTTAATTAAAATAAGTAAAGAATCATATAAAGAAAATTTTAAATAGAACTAATCATAATATTTTAAATATAAGCTTCGATTATTTTAACATCAAAAGTACATAAATAAAGCAATAAAGCATAGATATAAAGCATAGATAGAGAAATAAGAAGAGAAATAAAGCATAGATATTTAATAAATGCTTGCAATTTTCTCTCTATATGTATATATATATATAAATAGGGGAAGGTAGGATAATACCTGTTGGAGCTAAATTTTTCTACCTAGGAACATTTACCAAGATACTCATTGTTTAGTTGTGTACATTCTCAAAAAGTCATAGATGTACTACTTTTTTCATAAATGATTTTTCACCCGACTAGTGTGATAAAATTAGGTGCACATGTTAACTTAAAGGGAAATTTAAAAATATTAGAATTTCAGTGAAAAAGTAGCTTATATTATATAAGACAATTTAGAAAAATTATGCATGTAATTTTCAAGGGGCGAGGGACAGTCGTCCCCTAGAATTTCTTGAGGGCCCAATCAAAATTCTTTACAAAACTAAATAGCTCATTAACTATTTTTTAAAAAGAAAATATAGCAAAGAATTTCTTTACATCTATATAAAAACTACAATTTTGCTTGAAGTCTCTTCAAAAATTCTACCAAACATAAAACAAGGATTTTTACACCTTAGAAAGGGGCCCATAATAAATTTTGTCTTCTTCTGCTGCACTGCAGCTTTTGTGGGCCCAGCAGACACAAATGAAGGGGGGAAAGACACCTGATCGAGTCGTACCTGATCTTACCCCACAAGAAGAGGTTGTCAAAACAAAACAGAATAGTACTACTATTGACAGGGTTGCAAAAAACCCACCTGCCCAATAAAACCCGCCCGGATTTTACTGGGTAAAAACCACTGTGAAAAACCCAGTAAAACCAAACCTAAAGTGGGTTTTAATTGGGTTTTTCTAAGATTGATTTCTTTTTTTATCCTCTGTTATATTAAAGAGCTATTCTATTGAAATATTTATTCAGTCTAGCCTAAAAAAATTAGCTTATAGTGAAAAAACTAATTGTGTTGGAGACTGGAGAGTCACCTTGTTGACTAGATTTGACTGTATGGTCATTGATTATTCAGTGCAATTTATTCGATTTCTATGCAAATAAAGAATGTTCCTCAAATATTTTTTAAGGTTAAAATATAAATAAAAAGTATTCCTGTGTTAAAATAAGTTTCAAATGTGCGATGCATGTGAGTACATATAACATTTTGCATCGTGATGTCAGAAGAAACTTTTTTCTGACTTTCACATCAATTTATTTGTATTAATTATCTGTAGGAAGTCAATTTATAAAATTAAACTTAATTATTAACATTAAAATAAGCTTTTTTAAAATAAGGTACTTACCCCTGCCCTCTCTTTTGAAAACCCCCCCATGAAAACATGAAAAACCCAGAAAAGTCCAATAGAACCCAGAAAAGCCCAATAAAACCCAGAAAAACCCACCCGGGTTGGGTTTTTCAACAAAAACCCAGGTTTTTTGCAACCCTGACTATTGAGCTAAGTCCTTTTTGTTTGTTAGCATACAAACCTTTAGCAAATGTATAATACGATGGACTAAAAATAATTTTACTAACTGCAATGACCAATAAATAAGGATAGCTCAAAAACAAAAGAACATTAGAGAGTTGATATAGTTATAAAAACGTATCTACAGACACGCCATCAACATCAATGCTTCAATAGGGTAGGTGCTTTTTCTTAACTAGTAGAATGAAATTTAGAATTTGTTCGCTGAAAATCAGAACTAATTTTGCCGAAATCGAGGTACTCAGTTTTCCCCAAACTCTTTCTACCTTTTTTTATATAACAAGTAAATTCACTGATATCAATATATAAAATAACTTTCATTAAAGCCACTCTAATAAACTACGATATTCAGAGAAAAAAAGCTAACTTACTTCATTATCAGTAAAACGACTAGCAGATATATCTTCATGATCCTATAAAAAGAAGGAATAAAAAAATAAAGTTGCCAAATTAGATGATTTTTCTCTAAAACACTACTTCTGCCAACATCAAAAATTGCACAAAAAACATTGAAATTCAGTGTAGGAAATATTAATAATAAAACTAAAACTAGTAGCATTTTCTATGGAACTAGAACATTTTATTAAGGTTTTTTAAATGCATAGATAAAATATTTAAAACCATTAGTTCCAAAGCATAAATAGGGAGAAAAAAACTAAGTAAGACAATGAAATATAGGAAAAATGAATTAAAATTAGAAATCGTACAAATAATAAATTGGAATAAAACAATAGCAAGTACTAAGAAGTTTCAATGCCGTCATATTATATTTTCAAGTTATGTTTTACTTTTTAGTATATGTCAGGAAAGACATAAATATATTCAGCTGGTTTAGCTTTAAAAATAAAAATATTTAATTTTATTTTTTTAGATCATTTGTAAAATTCTATGAATTAGAATACTCTGAATTGTAAAGATTAATTTCAAAAGCGGGAAAATTATATTCTTATCAGATTCTGTTGGAAAAAGACACAGTTATAGAAAGATTAAAAAAAAAAGTATTTTTGATAAACACATTTTTTAGATATCCCAATAAAAATATCATTTAGAATAAGCAGTCAGAAAATATTATGTTTTACAGTAATATTAAAAAATTCATCCTTTAAATGTTTAGTTTATTAACAGGCTAGTAAAATATACATATAATTATCCATATAAGTGTCTCATGCATATATTTAAAGCACTAAAGTTACCAAAGAATATTTCTTTCATTTTACAAAAAAAATTTAATAAAATTTCAAAATCTAACAGTAAAGAGATTTGTGTTTTTATAAATTTGAAATAAATAAAACATGTGTATTGAAGGTCTGCAAATAATACTATAATCCTTTTTATGTAGATTATAGTATGTATATATTATGTTGATATAGATTAAATATTTGCTTACAGTGTCAATTTAACTATCGTTTCACTTCAAAAAAGAATAAGAGTTGATAGGTAAGCTACAATTCTATTTCTAGGTTTATTGAAACACATCACTGTCTCATACATATTTTTAAAGCACTAAAGTTGACAAAGAATATTTTTTCCCTCTCTCTAATAACAATTCAATGAAAGTTCAAAATCAAACAGAAAATCTATGTTTTCATTTATTGCCAGACGATAAGATCATTCTCATGAAATGATAATAGATCTAAACCTATGAATCACCAAAATATTCCTTTAAAACTACTTACAAGTTGAATTTAATTTCTACATAATGTGCATCCAAAAAGTAAATCCCATTCAACCACTGCATTTTTCTAATTTAAACCATTCTTACCTTTCCATTTTGACCCCAAACTTAGTGACCGCCTCATAATTAAAAGGGTAGGAGTGGGGACCATAGCCCACATGCAGGGTATCTGCTATATTTTCGATTTTCAAATCCATGACTTTTCATGACTTTCAATGATTAATTCTAAGAATTTTTCATGTTGTAACAAAGTAACTATTTTCTCTGACAAAAACACAACAATAAATTTAAAAAAGAATTAAAATAACATTCATTGAAATGGTCGGTATATCCGAAACTGTTATACTCTACATCTTCATATTTATAGATTTTAAATTTAAAAAACAAAGTAATGAAAGAGTTGAAGCAATAAAATAGCTAAAAAAATACAAGAGCAAATAATTTTTTTCTTCTTTGTCCTCATTTCAGAAGAAAACAAATTCGTCAATGACTGGCTTGCTTAAGCTAGAATTTTAAATTGATGAAAAAAAAATAAATTTTGAAATCACAGAAGATTACAAGATAAGTCGATCTAGAAATTATGTGTGTTTTTTCTTTCATTTTTCGACTATTAATCAATTTTTTGAAAGAAAACCATAATTTTTAAAGAACACGATAAAAACATTTCATGCTTCAATAAAATATGACTGCGAGTGGGTTTTTTGTAGATATTCGGAATATAATTCCGATTTGTAACACCATGAAATTGGTGGTGGGGGGGGGTAGTTCCATTTTAAAAATTAGATTTTTCATCAACCTAAATTCATAACTTTACATGATTTTTTTTAAAAAAAAAATAGTAAAAATTACGACATTTCATAACAAATTTTCTTCAATACCAAAATTCATGACATTCCGTGATTTTTCATGACTTTCCAGGCGCAGATACCCTGCACATGGCTCAGGGTGACCCCTCTGTGATTAGATTTATGTTCGCTCAGAATGGGAAGTGGCACCTTCAAATTTGTTTTTGTGGGATATTAAATGACAATTCACGAATGAATACATTCTTTGAGAGGCAGTCTAATCAACTAAAAAAACAACCTTTTAAAGCACATTTCATTGTCGGCATCATTTTAAGAAAGGATATATTTATATTATCTAACATAACATTGGGTTTTAGTTGGCACTGAATTTTCTGAAGTCAACACTATTTTTGTTAGTGAACTCAACTACTTACAACTTAGAATTAGCAGCATATTTGACAGAAATGCTTCAAACAAGAAAAATAAAATTTTCAAACATCTAAAACTCAGTGTCTGACCGAAATCAGAAGATCAAACATTGTCACTTAAGTAAGAAATAGTAAAAATCAACTTTTTTTTCAGACAGATTTATATTATTCTACACGTATAAATCATATTTCAAAATAAATTAAAAAATTGATGAGTTATTTGTTGACATTATTATTAAAAATTAATTTTTGCATGCAAAGTATATCTGAATAATAGAGCATAGTATTTAGCTAAAAAAAAATTTTTTTTCTCAACAAGTGTGAACTCATTGTTAAACTTACGAAGTGAAACAATGTACACATAAGAAGATTGGGGAGAAATATAAATAAGGTAATAGTGTCATATTAATGTACACACTATCAATTTTGTTTGTAAAAATATGAAAAAAGAAATTGTACTTACTGAAGGCAGTTGTACAACTAGATAAACAGGTGATATAACAGAAACTTTATTTTCTAGGGTAATGTTACTCAACTTCAACGCAGAGTTAACGACCTCTTTGTCAGACGAAATAAAAATAGCGAGGTTTTTTTCTTCATAAATGTTTACCTGAAAGAGTTAAATATGGATTGTATCAATAAGCTGCAATGGATAGAATTAAATGCAGAGTCACAGATTAGGCTAGATGTGAATAACTATCAGGGGTATGTAAGATTATAAGGAGTCATTTTTACCAGCAATCATAATCTAACGATAACAAGTAATCTGGAATATGAATAATTTTAAAAATAGTAACTGTACAAATACATAAATATGTTGTACATACATTTACACTTAACTACGCTGTATGTTTATGCAAACATTTACGAACAAGCACTGTATGTAAATGCTTGCATGAATAAGTAAAAAAAGTTGAATGTTTACATACTTTGTTATTACATAGTATATGTGTAATTACATACATTGTATAAACGTATACACATGAAATATATATGCAGGGATCTGTCTAGTTTTATTTTAAAAAGGAACCTATTTTGTGAAAATTAAGAAATAATTTGGGAAGATTAAAAAATCAACACAACATGCACACAATATCCTTTCAATTAGTATTTTACCAAGTACTCAGCACAGTTAGCATATTGAGATAACAGTATACTGAGATAAAATAACCGATTTTTAATATTAAAATACTCAGAAAAGTTTCGACGTTGTATTTGGTTAATACTGAGTAGTAGTAAAAATTTAAGATTTATAAGTGTAAATAAAGACGAAGATTTTTAGTAATGAAAAAGAAATATGTATTCAAACATAAATTTATAGCAAGCAATCATTTACTACTGCTTAACTCATAAAAAAGACAATTGTACCACAAAGTTTTAAAAGGAATGGAGGAAAATCTTAAAACTTGCTTTTTTTAAAAAAGTTTTTTGTGAAACTACCGTTTTTCTTAAAGTTGAATTTGTGAAAGTACCGTTTGCTCGAGCGGAGAATTTGTGAAGGTACCGCTAAACGGTAGTAAATTTGTCCATATCAGGCCCCTGACTATATACACATAGTTAAGTATTGCTCCCACCCTGGTCACTGGTTTTGACAGCAAACCATCTGATCAACACGGTAGCAGTTTAATCTGATGCGGGAAGGAGGCACAAATATAAACAAAACTCACTTTTGAAATAGATGGCCTGATATCTAGAGGCAATTTATCGAGTGTATTCTCCTTTGAAAGGACAGAAGAAATTGCAGATATCATGAACATATTGTCCAGTAAAACAGTATGCTGAGAAGCCCAGTTGTCAGTCAGGTAACCAGAACTCAAACTGTAGTTTTTACCATCGATTTGAATGGTCCTCAATGCTAAAGCTTCCTCAGCTACAAAAGAAATAGTCAGTGAGTATGGCACAAATCACAGGGCAAGTAAATATAACAAATGGCAATTCAAAAATTGTTTGTCAGTCATGACTTAATTCCTTAAAAAATGCACTCAATGCGCATATTATAATTATTTTTTTAATAAATAATTAATTATTGCGCATACATTCGATATTCTAAAAATTATTTTAGTTCCCATTTGTTTCCTAAAATTTTTCTTCATTTTAGAAATGAACCGAGTAATGCTTATCATATTTTGAAAAATGCTTTTGAAGAAATGACATTATTAATATCAACAGGTATTTTAATACTTAAAATTTTTTAAAAAATGGCCACATTTTAAGATGCAAAAACTGGCCAGAAACAAAATTTCTTAATTTTGCCAATGTTATTGCACTCCTAAGCGATATAAAAAAATGCTTGGAATACTGTCCAATATTAGAAAGAAAAAGAAATTCTATGTTGCATATAAGAGATTCTTTTTAAGAAGCCATTAAAAATATTTTAAGAAGTTTCTCTGTAATAATTTAACAAACATAAATATTTACAATGATATGGAAGTTCTTTAATTGAAAAAAAAAAATAGAATGTAGAAAAAAAAAGAACAAAGGAATGAGCAGACTATTTTTTACCACTTTTCAAAGAACCTTGGGTAAGCTTTATGAATGATGCTTCGTCGAATTATCTTATCAAACTTCTGGAAAATTTGTGGAATGTAATGAGATCCTTAATCATTGTTTTCAGCCATATTATAAAAATAAAGTATTGCATAAAGAAATTTTTTTTATAAACAATAAATTGCGTACAACTATTAAATTTAATCATTGAACAAACAAACAAGTTCAGTTCCCCTTAATGGTTTGTCTCTAAACCACAAAGAATGTTGAATTAAGAAATAAAAGAAACTGAAAATAATTTAATATGCTTGGTGGCTGAGTGGTAGCTCTTCGTGCTCCCGTGCCACAGATCGTGGGTTCGATCCTCGGGCCGGGCAAGGCTGCCCCAGCCTTTCATACCTTCAGTGCGTCGATAAATGAGTACCAAGCATGCTTGGGAACTAAACATTGGGGATTTCGCGTTTGGTTGACCACCTAACCGGAGCATCTGCTCCTATCCCCCAGAGTCCAAGGTCAAGAAAACTGAGATGGGCACAGTAAGCCTTCTATGGGCTGTCGCGTCACTGAGTTTAGTTTTTTTTAGAAAATAATTGGAATTTAGTAGAATTTGAGTGGAGCTTATCTTTGGAACTCTACTATCATGATTGAGAAACCAGTAAAATATATTATATTATTATTATAAATGGTCAATAATCAAAATTAAAAACGGAAGAAAAGACATATGAACATAAAAGATAAAGAAATTTTCATTTTCTTTAATTTGCATTTGGTATTAGCATAAGTCGCATGCATAGCATGCACTGGAATAATATCGCATACATAGTATATGTATACTTTTCATAATAAAATTCTATTCCCTTTTAAAATCCCAGAAATTATCAAATTTTTGCAATGACAACAGGGGGTGGGTTTTAATATGAGTATTAGAATTAAACTTACACTTCTCATGAAATATCTGAGTATTACAAGTAAAAAGATGGATTTTAAAAATTCCACACCAATTTTTCTGCTTAAAAATTACATTTAATATGCTTTATACATTTTTGTTGTTGTTTTCGTGGTCATTTTTTTTAAAATAATGAATTTTTCGTCTTAGATAGTATAAATTACACTGAGAAAAAAATTAGAACTGAAATGACATAAATGCAAATTTTAGATTGTTTTATATAGTACCACACAAGCTTTTAACTGATGTTGAATTTTCTTGTGGTAAGACAGTCATATCCTTTCACTAGAGTAACAATGTTGTGGAGTATGCTTCTACACAGAGCTGAATGCGTAGATGCATTTGGTCCACATTAACTTTGAACGAGCAGATGGCTCCCTGACTTTCAAGAGAGAAGAGCTATCAATGATTTTTTTGTAATTTTGATTGTCTTTTCATGTCTTCATTATAAAATGCGTTTGTTTACATTTGGGACTTGTTTATTTCCTCTTGATCTGCTATGAAAAATCAAGCAGAAGTTTACTCATTTCCCTATTGTAATAATTTTGGAACTTGTCCGCAAGCAACAAATATTCACTTTGAAGTCAAAAATATGCTTTGAATGCCAGAAAATGTTATTTTGAATTCTTGTTTACGATGAATTTTATTTATTTATTCATCATTATTATTAATTTATAAAATTTGCCTTAAAATTTTTTATAAGACACATAACATGTAAAAATTTATTAAAATATTAGATAGCAAGGAAATTAGTGAAAAATTAGAGTCTTTATGAGATAGTAAGAAAAAATTTTAAATTCAGCCCACATTTATTTTTTGTTAAAAGTTTTTTTACACACACAAACAAGTACAAATTCCCACACAATACAAATGTAAAATCATAAGATTTAAAAATGAAAAAAAAAAGAAAAAAAAGTATACATGAATAAGGGTAAAATAAAATAACAAATTCTTCACTAAGAGAACAAACAAGAAATATTAATGTTGGTCATGAAGAGGGGAGCTTAGTTTAGTTCCTATTATAAAAATGCTATTTTTTTTTGGAACCATATAATCATCTTATAAAACATTTCAAAAATTTTGTCTATCTTACCAAAAGAAAGCTCAGAGAAAACTAGCACAGTGATATTTTCTTTGTTTCTGGATTGAGAAGATACTACAAATGTTTTTTCCATATTTTGAAATGCTGGACTGATTTCTTCCAAATCACTCTCAGTTATAAAAAATGGCAACTCCGGTCTTACAAGCAACATCTGTGATTTCACGCAGTTGGAAAAAGAGCAACTGAAATTTTGTAAAAGAATATAATTAATTGATACAATTCCTTTTGAACATTTTTTTTAACTCTGAAAAAAAGCAATTTGACGTAAAGGTTTTTTGAAATACAATTAATTTTGTATGAAGTGAAATAACAGAAATAATCCAAGGTTGAGGTTACAACATAATCGTATGCATGTACTTCATTTGCATCAAAGAACCCTATTGTTAAGTAAAATTTGGACACATGTCGTTACACATTCCCACTTCCTTGCGCTGTTGCCACTTAGTCCCGATCACTTACAACACAAACACTTGACTGCTAAAGGCAACACAGGAGTGACCACAACCGCGAACTTATAACAGCTCTCACGATCAGTACTCAAATAATTATGGTGATCTTAAAACAGCTCTCCGGGCTTCTCACAAAACAGCAATGAATCAACTAGTGGTATCCGTTCATCGAATTATATCACAGATATAATTCTGGAGGGGGAGTACTGCAGTGTATCTACTACCACAAAAATATAAATCCAATTCCCTAGTGAATAAGACATGTTAACTTGATTCTATGTTGGAGTACCTATTTACTGATGAAGGATGACATTGTCAATTTTTACATTTCCCCACACATGCAATCACAATAAAAATTCCAAAAATTAACTTAGCAGTATTTGCTATAAGGCTCCCTCTTCTTGTTGAGTTCAGGGTTCTTAGGCCTTAGTTTGAAATGCAAAATAATCACTAAGCCATAAACTTGAAAAAAAAGAAAAGAAAAAGTAAAGAAAATAGAAACAAAAACTGAACACACAGTTGTGCTATTTCTTCATTTTAAAATTTAAATTCAACAAATTCATGAATAATGCATATTATCATAATATGTCTTTATAACATAACAAGGCATATAGTAATTCACAAAGAAGAATTGAGAGATGAAATTGAATTCAATGAAGGAAATTCAATCAATAAAAATTCAATAACCAACAAGGAATTATTGGCAATAAGATTTTTGGTTTGTATTGATCTCTTCTCATACAAGATAAAGATCGAGACACCATTTAATTTTCAGACAAGATACAGTTTTTTTAAGAGAAACTTTCAGTACTAAACCAATACAGATATAAAATTAAATGAAGAGGTGGTCTCTTCATTTAATTTTAAATTATTAGAAGTTTCATTCTATATACAACATATTTGTGCGAGTGAAATTCCTAGAGTAGCCCTTAATTGGAGAGCAGAGAGAATTAAAGCGTATTGTGGTCAGGATGATTTCATTTTACATCCATCGTTGAAAAGCCGACCATATTTCGGGTTTACGACTACTAATGTCCGACTCCGTAGCCTTGTAATTTTGAACCAATCCAGAAGACAAGAAAACTTCGGGACAAGGGCCCAGTGCCTTACCAGTCAGGATGATGGAAAGAATGAGGCTGGGTGGTCTAGTTGGTTGGTAGTAAGAGCAGCCAACAGAGGAGACTGAGCCATGAATAAGAGATGATTTGTATGTAATCTAGATCTATTGTGTGATTTATATAATGAGATGAGAAATCTGTAAACCATACAAATGTGAATCAAGAAGTATAATTTGTAAATTGAGTGTAATATAGATTTGCAAACCATGTAAATTTTGATGCTGCATTTAAGAAGCAAATATATAATTAAAGATTTACATGCAGCAAAAGCAAACATAGTTTCTTTTTTTTTGTATTAAAATATGATATTTTTATTTCTTTGTCATTTCAGAATGATAAAATGGTAATTTTTGAGAAAGTACAAGTTCAAACATTTAATTTTGTATTGCTGATTTTATTATCAATAGTAAAGTATTAGGCAAAGAAAATGTTACTTTATATTGTATCCAGAAAATCCATACTCTTCTTTTGCTTGTTGTAATTCTTTAAGAAATTTAGGATCAGATCCATTTACCCATGTATATACAACGTCTATAGGCACATATTGGCATAACCTATAATAAATATATTTATATTCATGTATGCAAGTAATACTTTTTGTTGTAAATAATATATTTTGTATTAAATTTCTCCAAAAGAAAAAAGAAATATTGAAGACTTTTTTAAAAATAAAATGTTAAAACAACTTTTCAAACAGTTTTTAAACATCAATCTAGTTTCAATGATAGTATTAATTAGCAATATATATAAATAACAGGAATTTTGAAAATAAAAATAAATGTAAGGAAATTCCTAGAAAATTAACGCAGCCATAATTTCTTTTCATGTTTTAAGCAGGTTTGGAAAAAAGAAGTTTTTTCTTCTTTTTTTAAAAAAAAAAACCCTTTTTTTGTTAGTTTAAACAACATCTCCCCCCCTTTTAAACTGTTTTTTTTTTTTATAAANTTTTTTCTTCTTTTTTTTTAAAAAAAAAAACCCTTTTTTTTGTTAGTTTAAACACCCCCCCCCTTTTAAACTGTTTTTTTTTTTTTAAAGCAATATGTCCAATAATACTTGAATTGAAATTTACTAAACTGTTCCATAGTAAGTACTTCACTATTCCATTTAACTATTGATTAATGTTTCAATAACAATTCAAAAATATCTTATCTCAAATACTTTTGTCCCTAAAATAGATTCCCATGCATCAGCAATCAATTATATTGTTTAACATGAAAAGTTTTAGCTGGTTATCGCTTAATATGAAAGGAAACTGGACTAACACCGATAAAAAATAATTAGGTATGGTAGTATAGTATGTTATAATATAATACCTGACCAATTTATTGTAATGAATGATGTATAAAATCCCAAACATTCATTTTGAGGAATGCTATTTCTATTTTCTTCCTTTGTTAGAAATAGATGGGCAAATAAATAAAATAGTTTACTAAAGTAATAATGACTTAAAGCTTATTTTAATTTGATTGGTTCATAATAGAATTGTTTGCATACATTAATGTAGTACATACCTATCATGCATTAATAGACTGAAATAAATTGTTTTGTTGATATATCAGATAAAACAAAATTCGGTTAACATGAAGTAATTATGATAATCCCGACAATTTCGCGTTATCGAGGTTTGACAGTACTAAACAGAAAAAAACTGCAAAACAAAAATTTTTTAAAAATTTATTTCCGTAGACTTCTGATTTACTTAATTTTGGCATAAAATTTACAAAATTATTGCTTATTAATCATGCATGCAATAAGCAAATCACACAAAATAGAGAAAATCATTACTCACATAGTACGATAGCTTTTCCCAAGAATATTATCACTATAGGGGCTAAAAACAACAGCATATTTTTCCTTACTCCATTCTACAAGAGTCTATAGCAGAAGTAAACAACAATTATTTTCAAAAATATTTTTCCAAATTAAATCTAATACAGAGGCAGAATAAAATAAAATAGGACAACTACATATCTTTTGAATTAATATTCAGATTTACATTTATATTAACTAAACAAAATTAGCTTTAAAGAGGAACTATTGTGTATTTTTGTAACCTGTATACCTCCTTTATATCACAAATTCAAAAGCATATTTGTTAGACTCTTTAACCATAGAATAGCTTGATTTTTAAATTTAGTTGCAAAAATAAATACCAACTCTTTCATTAGATCAAAAGCCAGTCGGGTGTTTCGTATTTAACCAGACTTGTTTTTTTGAAGATTATTATTACTATGCATTTATATTTTTTCTTGCAGCTTATCTTACTTAAGACAAAAAAAAAAAATGCATTTCAGTAAAAATATAGCTGTTCACTCTACCTCACCAAGATGAAGAGCGGCCACAAAAAGTGTGATAAAGCCTAAAAAAAGAAACAGACTTGTGTATTTTTTCGAAAGGATATCATAGGTTTTACGTTGAAGCAGCTTACAAAATATTGTTTTAGTCATCACTGATATTGTACTTAATAAATAAATATTAAAGGCATTAATAAAGTTTTTAGAGTTAAATTATGAGCAAAATAATCTACTGGAAAAGTCTCTGACTTATAGTTAATTTCAAATTTAAAAATTTTTTTGACGCCGGAAAAACTACGGAAACAGAAGGACTAGAAAGTGGTTGATTGATTGCTTATTGATTGCTTATGAAATCATAGGTAGCTGTAACTCTTTTCTGCTTTTAGCATGCATGGTAAAAATGTCTTTTCATTTCAAAATTTAGACTCAGAATCCATTTTTTTGATAAATTTTTAGATTCAAAATATTTCTTGGAAATTTTAGGTTAAATAATAGCTAATAAGTGGAGCTTTTTCTCTCCAAAAAATTATTTACACCAAGCTTGCGTAAAATTTAATCTCTATGCAAGCTACAAACTAAATGAAGGCAGTTTGCATAAGTATGGGACTCTCGTCACTTACTAGCAAACAATCAATTCATCAATTAAAGACGAAACCCGTAAAGGGGAGCGAATTTTATTTTCTGTAGAGAAATGTCCAGCAGGTAATTAATTAAGTTTCAGTTCAATTGTAATTAAGTTTCATTTTCTACTCCTTACTAACATCAGAACTGTTGGAGGTAAGCAAATCAATCTAGTTTACCTACCCACTTTTGATTTTTACTTGCATAGCCTATATATATTAATTATATCCGAACTCTAATTTTTCCAATGAGAGCCTCCTGAATGGAATGAACGAAAATAAATGTCTGATTCAAAGACAGACTTATTATATTTTGTCTCACAGTCAACAGGACTAAATTTAAAATTCATTTCTATAATTCTGTTTTTATGTATATATGTATGCCAAAAACTTGTACTTTAAGGAAAAAAAGAATCATTTTAAGCTGCTCAACTACGATCTTTTAGAATTTTTTTTTCTCATTGTCAAGTTTTTTAAATTTTTTTATCCCTTTTATTGGTACTGAAAACATGCTTAGCAATCCTTCTGCATTGAAAATTTTTGTTTTATTACTCTAAAATGGAAGAAGCCCGGTGGCTGAGCTGTAGCGCTTTGCGCTGTCGTGCCTCCTGTCCCTGGTTCGATCCTCGGGCCAAGCAAGATTGACTCAGCCTTTCATCCCTTCAGTGGGTCGATAAATGAGTGCATGCTTGGGAACTAAACACTGACCACCTAACCGGAACATCTGCTTCTGCACCCCAGAGCCTAAAGGTCAAGAAAACTGAGATGGGCACAGTAGGTATTGGCCCTCTATGGGCTGTCGCTTCGCTGAGTGTAGTTTTTACTCTAAAATAGTGATACTTCTGAATATGAGGAAATTACGGAGGTGATTCTTAATAAAAGGTATAATATATTTAACAGTTATTTTTGTATGTATATATAATTTGCTTCAAAAATTTAGCCAATATGTCTCTATATTTGCTGTAGCCCATGTAAAGAACAGACTGCTATATATTTACAGAATGTGGTTGCTTCTCATATTTGGTTATGCATAGCATGTTCATTCATATTTTCTCAATAAAATTCTTCGTATGTAAAAAGAAAAAAATCAGCATTTATCTTTATTAAGCTCTTTGTTTTTGAAATAAATGAAGAAAAAGATGAATGAGTGTAAAGTGGTGAATTCAATTATTCAACGTAATGTATTCATTGAAAGAATATTTTCAACCATACACATTATATGAATACATACATTTTATCCAGCTTCTTGAAATTTTTTTCATTAACTGAAAATTAAACTAAATGTATAGTATAAAACAAACTGCTTAAAATATATAAAAGGCATAGGAGAAGGAAGTACGTTATATTCTGTCTTGATTATCTCATAGATTAAAAACTTATTAATTTGGAAACTATATGGAACTGAAAACTACACTAAACATAGTTCCATTAGAAAGCATCATGGAATTTTTAAAAAATATCTGTGACAATGAAATACGAAAAATATTAAGAAAGAAGGAAATATCGTAGTACATTCCTACACAACTGAAAAGAGGAGGAGAGGAAAGGGTCAAGCCCCTTATATATATATAGTATTTGATATTTTGACTTGTTGTACACTGCTAACGCAGGGCACATCACTAAATTGCTCATATCAAAAATGACTTCAGAGCATGCAAAGGGGCTCAATATCCATGAAGCTCGTTGATTATCACCCATGCTTCTTTCACGTGTTTACCCACCTCGATTCAAAATGCTTCACATATAATGGATGACGACATAAAAATAAAATAAAAAATTCGTTGTAAAAATAATTTCTTTGGTATTTCTGTTGAATGATTCATTGTCAGCGGAAGTATTTAATTTTTGACGCATAAAAATGTTTGAATTTTATTCCCCCCTGAAGCAACAGCGAGTAAAAGAAATATTATGATTTCAAGTGAAAATGCTCCGAATCATGTGTTTTGCACACTCACGTTGTTTTGTATGTCACCATACTTTATCTTCGCCAACTTCAAAACACAACTATAATTTTATTTTCCAGGTTAAAATTCAATATCATGCACTATTTTTTTAAAAAAAAAAAAAAAAATCAAAATGTCGACCCAGTACTTCCTGTTTATATTTTTCAAATGTGTCCAAAAAGAAATTACCACCCACTCATTTACTTCATCCACTGAACTTCGAAAAGTCATTATAATTTTCCCCGTGGCAGAATTGCGGCGACACGTCGGCATTGTCGCAGAACTGGAAAATTTTTGGTTTTCCTTTCTGCATAATTTTTCGAAAAATATTTTTTTTCTCTTTTTTTTCTACAGATTTTTTTTTAAATGTGTCTTTCTTGCACACCAGAAAAGAAAAAAAATAATGGTGATTTTTCTATTTTTATTTAAGATTTAAGAAAAGACTGGCTTCAGCTAGAATTTAAAATGAATAATATAAAATGTGAGATTCAGAAATCGCGAAAGTTTAAAAGTTCGCTCTAGAAATGATGTTTTTTTCTTTTCCTTTAAAGAACACCCTGCTTTACGCACACTATTGGTTTATTGGAGTACTGTAACCATTTTCCAAGAAAATAAAAACAAAACACCGGGCTAGCTCTAAAATTATTTATTTACTAGCAGAGCACAGAAAACAGTTACAAATTACTAAAAAAACAACACAAAATTAACGAAACGAAACTCACATAACACTAAACAAAGAGATTATTTTGGAGATGTTCTCCAATCGGTTGCCGCAGTTCAACTCAAACATCTCGCCACAAGATGGCGTGGTGGCACTACAGTTTTAAAGTAGTATAGTTCTGTTGCAGTATCTCTTTTTTTTAAAGAGTCCTATTCGCGTGATTTTGTCGTCCATCTTTATTTTGGATTGACTACATGGATTTTACGATTTTTAATTTGCGTACACATTTCAATTCATGATCGTTTAATTTATTTATGAATTTTAATTTTTGCAATGATTTAAAAAAAATCGAAAGAGGAAATAATGAGTGCGTTTTTCCACCTACAAAATGCGAGAAAATGCCTATAATATTAGAATTTGAAAAAATAGTACTTCTTTATTATTCTATACTTTCTTATGTAAACACAACGTTTCTATTACTTTAAATTAGTAATTGTTATAATTAAAAGTATCTTGCTGAAAGATGAGGTGCTTAGGGATGTTTGTCGCAAAAGCCGGAAAAAATTCTGCCACGGGGTCATTTTATTTTGCAGCTTAATATACCCCGTTTCTTGTTAAGATGACATTTTTTAAAATTTCGATGTTTTTAAAATATGGCAGTCGAAATACGCATGCTCGCATTTTACAAGACTTTTAGTGAGTATGACAAAAAGTTAACAATAACGAACTAATAAAATCCCTTCTTTGTGCGAATGAGTTCCACCTATTTTTCGTCTATATCTTCTGTACTAATTGTTTATTTTTTTATTATTTTTCTTAAGTGTTTCTGTTATAAAAAACCTTTAATTCCTAACTGCATTTAGTTTAAATTTCCCTAAATCACAACCTCCACCCAAGAAAGGTTTTTCCTTTTGTGAATGAGGCTTTAGTATTTCGTGTCAAACGTGCATGTAACAAACAGTACAACAGCAGCAAGAAACAATGCTGTACACGAAACGCTTTAAAACAGGGCCTTGCATTTCGCCCGAAAGAAGCCCATTTCTTCTGGGACACTGAAAGAAACTAAACAAAATGAAGACTGTGTTAAAAAGTAACCAATACAATTGTTTAGCAATAATTATATAAGAATAGGTCAAACCGATGAAATGTAATATGGTAGTGTAGAAAGTTTTTTGCATTCACTTAAAAACAACAACTATTTATTTGATAAGTTTTATTCAAAGCTTTAATATATTATTCAATTCCTACTATTAGTTCACACTCTCCCTATATATCTCGTTCAAATTTTAAATCGTTCATAAAATACTTTTTATTTATCCATTCAAATACTTTTTAAACTTGTAGTGGATGACACTTAATGTTAATACAGTTTTTTTTTCCAAATATTAATTCATTTATTTAAATAGGGATGAGATAAAAACGAAATGGAATTTTCTGATGGGTTAAGCGTGAGTCACTGTCTGAAATTTTACTATAAACGATTCAGCTTTTCACATATTTTTTTAAGATAACATCATTGATCATTTCTAACTTGTAGCTCTATTTGAACAAAAAAAAAATAGTTTATTGCGCACATTTAAATATTTTATATTCGCTATCAGATGAATTCAATAAAGAATTCATTACGTGGACCAAATTTATACTTTTATAGTTGTCTCATACCACGCTCCCTTTTTTCTTTTCTTCCAATTCCTACTACTATTAGTTCACACACACTCTCTCTCTCTATATATATTTATACATCTTGTTCAATCTTTAATTAAACACTTTTGTCTTTATCCACTCAAGTTCAAATACATTTTTTTTTAAACTTGTGGCAGGGGACACTTGATGTTCAAATATTAATTCTTTCATTAATTAATTTTACTTTTATATGGGCGAAAAAATTGTAATTATTTAATAAAAAGTAACTAAAATAAAAAATTTTTTTGTTGACTCAAGTAGGAATTGACTTTAAATTTTTTTTTTATATATTACTTATTTGTTTGTCGGTTTGATCATTCATGCTAAACATTATTTGATTATAAAAATGAGTAATCTATTCATAATCGTGAATGTTAATTTATTAGCATTTGATTATGTTCATTTTCACATAATTAAAAATGATGTG